ATTGTGGCAGATTAAAACGAAATCGGATTAAAACGAAACGGGGGACTGAAATTTAGGGACCATTTGAAACTGTAGCACAAAATTTGATCATTCATTCACGTGAAATACATAGATTTATTTAAATTAGAACCTTTATTATTATTATTATTATACAGTCAGTTTTTTGCGATAACCATGATAATATATAGTAATAGGTGTTCAGCATGAAAAAAGAAATCATAAGTATCATCCTTTGACAATTATAACGTGTATTTTACAGATTCACCGTGTGTCGTTACTTACATATGATAATGAACTAAGAAAAAGTTTGTCAAATAGTCACTATGTTAAATTGTGCGATAATAATAAGGAAGAATATCGTGAATAGAGCGCAATGTGAAATTATCATACTTCATACTTTATTACTGTTATCCATGCACTTCATCCGGATGGCTCAGATCATAAGTCGATCAAACTGTATTGTACGTGTATATGTGTGATTGTTGTATCAAGTAAGAGTTTTAGGAATAAAATTAAAGAAATATCATGGTCTTACGTCCCTTTATTTATATATTTTCAAGAGGATGTACGTGTGCGTTCTTTGCGTGTTTAATCGCGTACACAATCGCGCGGCAGTATTTTGGAAACGATCGATTACCATGTGATAATCAGGCGACTTCGAATCATACCCTCTTTTTTGTTTATGCATATTGTAATACGAAATATCTATAGAGATCATCTGTGAGAATGGTGATAACGATGATTCAGTTCTTTTCTGCTCCATCTATCATGCACTTCTTTTGTGTTCACCATATCTTACTTAATCTGTTTTACTTTACTAATTTCGTTGCCTTTTTCATAATGGTCAAATTACTGAAAGTACCAAACACTCCCGAAGACTTCAATGACATTGTTTCTTATCTTCAGTCTGGCGTCTTTGCATCAAAATACAACACTTCAACAAAAAGAGGGAATTTGCGTCGGAGATGTCAAGGTCTTACTTATGACGACAAGAGTGGTTGTCTGTTCTATACAGAGAAGCTGACAGATGAAAACTCTCAACCGGTCAAGAAACGATTAATTCCAACTTATGACAAGGAATTACGAGAAGCTCTTATAGAGAAATTCCATGTCGGTGCCTCTCATTTCGAATATCATAAAACATACACTATGCTATACGAGAAACACATCGGAATTACACAAAATGAAGTCAAGGAGTTTGTACGAAAATGCCCTACTTGTATCCGAAATGTATCAATCAAGGAAAAAAACGATATAACACCCATCATCGCCAGTGCTTCATTAGAACGTCTCCAGATGGACCTTGTCGATCTTCTTTCTTTTGCCGAACATAATGATGGTTATAGTTACATTCTCACGATGATTGATGTATTCTCCCGTTACGTCTGGGTTATTCCGCTCAAAGACAAAGAGGGCAGTACGATTAATAAGAAATTAACAAGACATTTTTCAATGTTCGGTCCCCCCACAGAGCTTCAATCAGACAACGGATCTGAATTTATCACTGATGTGCTAAAGAAAACATGCGAAACGCTCAAGGTCAGTTTTGTAGTTTGAGATTTAAGAATTAATAAAGCTCTAACCCTACTCTATCTAACCCTACTCCATACTCCAGATACAGCTCATCCATGGTCGTGTCCGACATCCACAAACCCAAGGAAAGATTGAAAGATTTAATCAAACACTCGGTCGACACTTAACTAAAATGCTGTGGGATGAGGTTTCCCAAACCCAAGGATATCGTTGGATCGATATTCTGCCCGCGTTTGTAATCACGTATAATAAAGCACCTCATGAAACACACAAAAAATCAC